TGCAGAGCAAACACCGAAAGGAAGAGGGGGAAACTCGAGGGAAAAGTGCAGCAACTCTAACTACGTTCCTTCTTCCTTAAATGGCAGCGATGCGACAAAGTGTGTCCCTAAAAATCTACCCATTTACTGGTATCGTACTCCGGCTACTGGGATGTAGTGAGGGAAAAGAGGGACGAACCTCGAGCGGCGCGTCACCCGGGTGTGGCGGTAGAAAGGACCAATAAATGGAGTGAAAATGCAATAAAATCTGGATAGTGAACAGAACGCCCACTCCAATTCGATTTCTCCCGCTGCTAGTCGAACGGCAAATAGAATGGAACAACTTTCGAAAAAAAAAAAAACGGCAGTAGTCAGAAGCTCCTTGAACTAGAAACCAATCGGAGTGTGAAGCCGGTCGAGAATTGCAATTCAGTTCGAGAGGCCCCCCCCCCCCTCAACACGGAAAGGAAATTGATCGCTTGGAACGGTTGGAATTGGCGGTGTTTTGCGCGCACACGTGAGAAAGAGAAATTCGAGTTGGGAAATTCGGTCGGACGGCGACGGAACGAGTTCGAAGAAGGTGCATTTCTTCAAGGACTCAAGCCGTTCGATTTGTTCGGCTGTTGAAAGCGGCAGGCGAGATATTCGTGTCTATTTGTTATTATTAATTAGACGCGGTGCATTGGGGAAAGGAAGAATGAGAAAAGAGAGTTCTTGAAGGTTGCAGGTTTTTCCGTTGCAATCGATTAGCACCACCAAGGTAGTGTGAAGCAACAGTCGAAACGCTCGGTAGGAATGCGCTTTGTCTGGTCAGAAACAAAGAGAGCTTGATTAGTCGGATTCGGGAGACGTGTTAATTTTTCCGATCGATCGGAGATTGGCCCCAATTCATTGAGCGGAAGTGCAGTTTCAAGAATGCTGGTTGCGGCTTTGTTCTGCTTGGAGGTGAGTCAAAATCTGCGAAATTGCTGCAGGATTTTGTGCTAGATTTCACCAGTTCAGATACCCGGACGATGAATCAGTTGGTTTTGATCCAAACAGATCAGTCGATTCAACGAGTAAGCTAATGGCTGTTTCAGAAATATAAGGTTACTTACGACTAGCATAAAGCTCGGTAGCCTTATATTAACCTTATATTGAAAAAAGGGCAATTAGCGGGCATTTAACGGGCTTGCTGGTTTCTTGGGTAGATCCTGCTCAACAACCTAAAACTGGAGCTCATAAAGGGTGTCCCACATCAAATTGCACAAATTGCATCACGGAAAAAATGCTGTAGAAAATTACCTAGTTAACCGATCCTTTTCAAACTTTCAGACAATAACACATAACCCATTAGTAAGCTTTTGGCATATTTATTTCATTCAACTTCAATACCACAACCGTACGCTCGCACCTTACGCTTAACTCCACTCATTAGGTTCTGTACAACATTTGGCTGCAGCTTCTTCTGTACGGGAACCCACTTTTTCTTCATATCTTCCTCAGATTTGACCTCCTTGGGATGCTTCCGTAGTGCCTACTTCATAATGGCCCAATATTTTTCGATGGGTCATAGTTCCGGTGAGTTGGGGGGTTCATGTCCTTGGGTACGAAAGTGACCCCGTTGACTTCTTACCACTCCAGGACAACATTTGAATAGTGGCACGATGCGAGATCCGGCCAGAAGATCGTAGGGCCCTCGTGTTGCTTCAACAGAGGAAGCAGACGCTTCTGTCGACACTCCTTGAGGTAGATCTCCCCGCCAAATCATGTATTTCTTGGCAAACTTTGAAAGTTTCTGCTTCCTTTCTGGGCGGTAAAGAACAGTAAAGAACAGTAGCTCCGGAAGCTGCTGGAAGTCCGCCTTGACGTAAGTCTCATCATCCATGATGAGACAATGAGGCTTCTTCAGCATCTGGGTGCAGTCCCGCCTGGTCCTTGGCTCTCTGAACGAAAGACTTGGACAGATTCAACTTTTTGGCCACATCCCTGACCGAAGCATTGCACACTGGGCCAGAAATTGCTTGTATATGCAGACGACATGAAGCTCTTTATGGAAATAAGTAATTCTAACGATGCAGAAGAATTCCAGAATGAAATCCATATATTCCACACCCGGTGTAGTAAACGTCTACTTAAACTGAACGTAAAAAAATGTACTGCAATAGCATTTAGCAGAAAAATTGAAACACCGCATATTGAAATATCATTAGGCAACCAAATAGTAGAAAAAAGCAAAATTGTAAGAGATCTAGGTGTAATCCTAGACTCCAAACTAACTTTTATAGAACATTATAATACTATCATTAGTAAAGCAAACAGAATGCTAGGCTTCATCAAAAGGTTCAGTCATAATTTCGAAGACCCATACACTATTAAGCTATTATATACCACATATGTAAGGCCAATTCTGGAATACTGCCACCTAGTATGGAATCCATACATTTCCATACACGAAGAACGCATAGAATCTGTCCAAAAACAATTCCTTTTATATGCTTTACGTAAATTGAATTGGACTGCATTTCCATTACCATCTTATGAAGCGCGCTGCATGCTCATCAATATACAAACACTTAAGGAGCGCCGCCAATTTGCAATGCTTTTCTTCATCAACGACATTATTTCAATGCGCATAGATTCGGCAGAAATTCTCGCACAATTAAATTTTTACACACCTTGTCGATATCTTAGAACACGGAATTTATTTTTAGAAACATCGTACAGAACAAACTATGCAAAAAATAGCCCAATCAATCGAATGATGCGCCTATATAATTTGCATTGCGGAACTATTGACATCACTATGTCCAAGCAGCAAATACAAACTAAGCTAAAACAGAATAGAATTAATGTATAGTAAGTAAGTAAACATTGTAATAATCATTGTATGTAGTCTACACTGGCTTGACGAAATGGAAAAAAAAAAAAAATAAAAATGCAATCTAGCGGAGCAAAATTAATAACTCCGAAACGAAGAATTTCCGCGACTTGGTGTCTTTGGCGAAGTTTCTTATCATAATAAGAACCATCTATTGACATAAACAAATAGTTCAAAACTCTTCCGCAAAGATGGCGCCACAATCTAACTTCTTTCTCTGACGATTTGAAGACTTGATGTCTTGTGCAAAGTTGTTTGCCTTGACAAAATAAAGAAAAGTTGAGAAAAGAAATTCAAGGGAATTCCGTAAAAATATCAAATGAATCGTATTTTAAGGATTATCCTAAAAACAAATTGAAGAAGAATTTCAAAGACAATCTTAAGGATAGTTTAAAGAAAATACAGTAGAGATTTTCAAGAAATTCCTGAGGAGAATTCCGAAGGATTTCTAATGCGGGTTTCAAATTCAATGAAAGTTTTAAGAAGAATTTAAAAGGAATGTAATGCTCTTAAAAGAATGCAAAGGAATTTTTAGAAGGATTCCAAGGAAATGCGAGATGTAAGCAATTACCATGGCATTACCTCATTGTGTGCATGTTCGAAGGCATTCGAATTCATAGTGAGCGACGCTCTTTTTGCCCGATGATTCATGATTCTATCCAAAAAAAAAGATCGGTTGCTACATTGCTCAATTTATCTCACTGAGCATACAAGCTATCGATTCTAGGAAGCAAGTGGATGTTGTCTACATGAATCTGAAGGCTTCTTTCGATCGAATTGATCATAACATCCTACTGAGGAAGTTGGAGATACACCGTTTGAATTTTTTAAATAAAATTTCTGCACACAAAATTAACGCTAGATTTGGAGTAAAATGACGCGATATTTCGATAAATAATGATTAATGATACTTTTTATTTGTAAGATGCAAGAAGAGGTGGTAAGTTTGTATATCTATCTATCTATATATATAAAAATGAATTTCAGTCTGTCTGTCTGACCCTTATAGACTCGGAAACTACTGAACCGATTGGCGTGAAAATTTGTATACAGGGGTTTTTGGGGCCGTGGAAGGTTCTTATGATGGTTCGAGACCCCTCCCCCTTCTGTAAGGGGGGGCTCCCATACAAATGAAACAGAAATTTCTGCATAACTCGAGAACTAATCAAGCAAATGGAACCAAATCAGGCATGTGGGGGCGAGTGTGGGGGTATAAGGAGATAATTAAGGGGGTAGCCCCTTAGATAATAGGGGGGGGGGGGGCTACGTACAATATAGCATGCTTTTTTTTAAATCGGCGCATAAACTCAAGCTAATATTGAATCCCGAGCAAGACCGGGCACACTCAGCTAGTGATATATAAAATTTGTCAATTTTGCTTTCAGAAGCTCACAACTAGCGATTAGCTGTAACGATGAGCGAGCAATCAGCGATCATAAAATCGCTAGTTGTAACCTTCTGAAAGCAAAATTGACAAGTTTTATATATCATATACAAACTTTACCACCTCTTCTTGCATCTTATAAAAAAAAATTATCATTATAGTATCCCATTGTTTCATAATACCGAAAAATAGCATTTTAGCTGTAATGAGCAATTGTCTGTTGAAATTTTGGTAAACATCACCGAAGTCCGTGACAATTTCTACAGACTTAAAAAAAATTGAGTTTCAGAAAACCTTTTTGAGATACGCAACAATTAACAGAGTTCATGATTGCAAATTAAGCCATTTGTCAGCTCAACTTCCATTACCCAAGTAAATCCTCCAGTTTCAAAGGCACCTTTCCACCTCCAAACAAGTGGAAATAAAGGAATTATTTGCCAAGCAGCGAGCGAGGAAAAAAAAGCAACAAAATAGCAAACTGTTGCAACTGTTCACCAGCCAATGCAATCACATACATCAATCGAATGCCTTCTAGTGCAGCAGAAGAAAAACAAAATTGCCAACCCAATGGAAAAACGAACCCCGCAAAGAAATTGCTTCAAACCTGACGCCGACGACGACGACGACGATGACTATCGCCGTCGCCAGCCCCATGTAAGTAGCTATACAATAAATAATACGTTTATTTTTCTGCAATTGCAAAAAATGGCGAAAACTGCTTGTTTGCACTTTCAATGAGCCAATGACACCTTAGAGGCGGAATGCCGACGCACTTACCTGAACTTGTTGGTTGTTGTTGTTCTGTACACTCGTGTCCAAATTAAACCGTTTGACTACTGGATCCTCGCTCTTTCCCTTTGCATCGATTTGATGAATTGGACTTGGGAGTTCTAGAAGTTCATAAATTGACGGAATTAGAACACACGGGGATGATTCAGAACATTTTTCGTTGTTGTTAAGAATAGAAATGGAAAGATGCTGAAGTGCAGTGCCACAGTAGAAGCTGTCCTGCCGAGAGCGCGAGAGAAGTACGATTCTGCACAACTCCACAGCTAACCTGGATTCGGCGGCCAGAGCGGCCCGGGTTGCTTCGATTTTCTTCACGGCGATCGTTCACAGTCACTTCCGGCGCGCTGCCGGAAGTCCCTTCACTTTGGAGGTTTTTCACGTTGGCAGCCCTGACACCGGGAAAGCGCCGTTCACGCGAAAGATATTATGTAATGTTTCATAAGAAAGAAAAAAAACGAGAAATAATAACGCTGCACCTCCGCCGTTCGAAAGTTACAACATCGATTTCCTCACGCTTACTCCCAGACTACGGTGCTCGCTCGTTCGTTCGTTCGCACACACCCACCCCGCTGTCGATCCTCCGAGGCGGCGAGGTACGCGATCGCGTAAAACGAAAGTAAAAGTTTATGCTGGATCCAAGTAGGCTACTCTCCTAGGCCTACTTTTCGATCACTCTGCTCGCGCTCTTCGAGCCTCTGGGCTTCCAACAACAATCCAATCCAGCACCACTGAAAACAACAACTACAACAACAGCAGCAGCAGCAGCACTTTTTTTTATGAAATAAATGCTAGGTTTTCTTGGGCTCTTCTTCGGGCAACTCTGCGCCGCCGTCCATGTTTAGCCGTGCAAGTTATGCTTCAACACTCTCTTGAGGCCCAGCTCTCTGGGCCCTGGCACTTCTTCCTCCGTGAAACAACACTCGCTGCCGCGCTGCAGCGGCCCGTCACGCGGTTTCCTCTTTTTCGATTCCGTAACCTTTTTTTTTCGCTCTCCACTTCTTCACTTCGTCAATTGTGTAGTTAGGCTTCGTACAGGCAGTGTTGAAAAAAGACTGAAATTATTTCTCACTTTTCCTTTTACTTGAAACTGGTTTCATTCATTTGCGTAACTCGTGCTTTTCGCTTTTGTCACTCCTTTTCGGTAGGTTCTGTAGAGACCTCCCCAATTATTTCGAGACACTCACCAAGTTTCTTGGACACTGCTTCCGATCGCTGATAGTTATCTGAACTTTCGCATAACTTCACTATTTCACCACAAAAAAAAATCAAATTGATCACCTTTGCCCCGTCAAAACTTCACTGTTACTAGTTTTACAATTCGATCTGTTTCTTCACTTGTTCCGAAAAACTTCGCACCGATGTTTTACTTGTTTTTGTTCACTGTTATTCACGTCGAAACCCGCTGTCATCCGTCATGATCGTTGACAGCTAAAGTACCCTCGAGAAGAACACATTCGTTTCGAAACGTCATTTTGTCGCTGAGCTGCGATTCCCGAATGTATTGCACTGATGACGATCAACAATCCAACGACGAAGATGGGCAAGTGGCGGCGCCTACTTGACTCACTCAGAACCCTTCTGGATGTAGAACTTCTTCGCACATCGCCTGCTCAGTTAAGTACGATCGATCATTTTTCACTTTCTTCTCACTTTCAATTCTCCAGAACAACAGCTCTTCCAATCCGGAACCGGATTTTCTGTTTTCCAAAATTTCGCTCAATCCTCCGATTAATCACTTTCTAGTTAGAACACTTTTTCTTCCTCGTCAAAAATTTGCCAAAAAAAAAATACAACGAGAATGCGATCCGATCCGTAGGTAGTGGTCGTCGTCGTCGTCTTCGTCAAAACTCAAACCAACCAAACACAAAAGAAGAGCCCGCGCGCCGTGTGTGATCACCTAACGGCTGTCTACTCTCGACTACTTTTGCTGATTTCCGTAGATGAGGTAGGAGTCGAGTTTCGGAGGAATGAAAAAAAAGAAGCGAACGCGCGCCCGCAGCACTCGGTCGGGGCCTAAGCAGAAAGAGAGAGAAAGAGAGGAACAAAAATTACAAAAGCTGCTGCTGTCGATTGTTGTTGTTGTTGCTATTGTTGCCGTGCTGTGTACATTTCGCGTTCTTCCACTATGCCTTCTCTTCTATACACACGAACGGCGATCCAAGCTGGCCGCGAATGAAACCGAAACTTTCAGCTTTCGTTGCTGTTTCAGTGTGGTGTGGTGACGGTGATGGCGGCGACGGCGGCGGCAGAGGTTTGCTTGCCTTCCTGCTCTCTCGTTCATCCAACGAACTGAAATTATCCGAATCGGTGTACGATCGGATCGGACGGATAGGATCGCGAGGTGGTGTGTGCGATTTAGGGATTTGTGCACGCGCAGCAAACGTCGTATCCACTCTCACACATGCATACAGGCGAGCGACGGACAAATTGCACTGAAGCAGGCGCGCGCGTCCCCCCAACCCCAACCCAACCACGGGAAGCTTTGTGGGAGGGAAGCAAGGAACGAAGAGAGAACGAATGAATGCTCGGATGAACGATGTGATTGTCTCTACGTTTGGGTGATATTCATTCGAGTGGTTCTCACCAGAAGTTCTCTGGTCAGCGCGACAGTGTTGCTGTTGTGAGGATAATTTTATGATTGTGATTTGGTGTGTAGAACGTTAACTTGAAGGCGGACGTAATTTAAGATTCAATTTACTTTGATTTGCTATTTTACACACAATGACGCGAGATTTTTGAATTCTGCGGGTGGCCACCCATTCGGGAAAAGTGGGAATTAGTCGGGAAAATTGAATACGAATATTGTCATTTGTATGACAATGACTTCTCTCGATGATTTCTCAAAATTCAAGGAACGCCCACGCATCCCAACATAACCATTGGCAAGTCTTCCCCTATCAGATGGTGAAGTTGATTTGAGTGAGCGAGCCTTGGCTTTCTAGAGATCATCGAGAGAAGTCATTGTTTTCAAAAGCTGTTACGCCCTAATTCCAGCTCTATCTAGAAATTATGTTTCGTGACCAAAAATTTAAAAAATCTATTGAAAAAATAAACAATAGTGCTGATAGTTTTGCATGACAAGCTAACGATATCTTCAAGGATTCATGACATTAGCAGATGCTGTAATGTCAGGATTGATGGTGAGTCACTTTTTAGTGACTTTGTCACTTTTTTCAAGCCAGTCACTAAAGTCAGTTTTTCTTGTAATCAGTCACTATTTTCAACTATTCTAGTGTGAATTTATTTCAAGATTGATCGTTCTTCTTGCAGTGTGTTATATTTTTCGAACAATTTCAATGTCTTGTGCTTCTATAGAACTTTTTGACGTTAAATCGCCTTTCTCTATTTACAGGGTGGCTAAAAAAATCCAGTATTTGACTAAAAAAAAATCCAGAGTTTTCCAGAATAACTTACAGGTTTATAATAAGAGTGTTATTATTTTAAATGCGTTAAAATATGCTTTTTTTGACGTAGGACCACCGACAAACCGACATCCCACAGGAACATTTCCTTTGTCCACAATTCGATTTGTTTAACGAGCGATTTGAACTTTAAAACGGGCGATCAAATCTGTCAAACGAGGTGAGACACAAACCATGGCAATTTTAATTCTACGTGGGTTCATGTCCTTGCTCGTGTTATGACGCGATGGGATGAGTAGATGGCAGTAGTGTTTAACTTATTTTAAATATGGCGTCTTGGGCAAGAATTTTGGGCACTTTGTGAAAACCAAAAATAGAATATGTAACAAAATTATGAAAGATTTTGAACGTTAATAACTCAGCTGTCCTTTGACCAATTTCAATAATTTTATCACCAAGTGATCAGAAATATTCCTACGCATCTGTGAATTTAGGACTTTATTATTTTTCAAAAAAATACTATTGAAAATTGCACGAATGTGTAACTGTTGCTATGCAGATTGAAATTATCACCGATTGCCTGCGAAAAGCGATTTCCCTAACACAGATTTCAAAGTTGAATTCCATCCGGTTTCCCCAAACGGTGTTTATTCAATCACCGTGTGGTAAGTGATAGTGTTCTCCAGTACACAACGAAAGGCCTGCAAGAAGCGAGCTGCTTCCCACATGAGCATCCATAGAAGGAGGAAGCAGCCGCACCGCTATTGATCGGAATCAGTAACTCTTCGTGAGTCGCTGTGGGCATCTATGTCAAGCGCGTCAATTCCTATTCCTACACAAAACACAAGCTCCTGCTGCAGGTTAACAAATAAGATTTATTACATAAGACCACGCAGTCCTACGTCACCATAGCGTACAACCCCATAGGGCTGTCCCTTGTAGTTTTTTTTAAACAAGAACTTACTTTTCTGATTTCCTTGAAGCTACTCGTTTTTGCGATGAGATTAGCTCAAAGCTGTAAAGATTTAATATTCGGTAACATTTTAGGTTAATTTAGTTTAATTTACGTAAAAGTTGTCTTGTATTAAGCATTTCACGCATTATTTAACAGCAAAAAAATCAACATACTTTTTGACATTAGTTTTAATGATAAGTTTAAACAGTTTTAATTAGGTATAAACAAAATATGATTTAATTCACTTTATCACGTTGTTCAATTCTTGCAGGGCCTGAAGCCAGAGTTTCCATGCCTTCAAAAATTTCCTCCGGTATCTTGTATGAGGATCTTCCTTTGGACTATCAGCGAATCTACCAGCCCCAACGGATCGTAGATTTTCATGGCAAAGCTTAGCATGATTCGTTTGGTTGGTGCAATCACGCCTTCCACTAGTTCTTCAAGATGTCCTTGCAGAACACATCTTCGCTCGGCAGCCAAGATATCCCAAGTAGTCGCTCAAAACCACTCTGGTTGTTCATCGTGAGATTCTTGACAGTAGGTGGGCTAACTTCTCCAATAACCTCCAGTACTTTGGATCTATTTTCCGATGGACCTCCACCACCACTACTTCCAGAGCCAGCTCAATCATTTCTTCCTCCGTGTTGACGGTGTTCAAGTAATAGTCGATGTTCTCTCAATCCCTACCCTGCCATCCATTTGTTACAATTTGTTACCCCTAACCTCGAGATAGCTGCGAGTAATCGGCCCCCGATTTACTAACGCTAGTTTTAAGTAATTTTGTGATCTAAACAATAAAAATCGGCCCCGCAAAGCTACAACAAATGAGCCTGAAAAAATAAATGTATCATAAAAAGACAACGTTCGGTCATTGGCCTGCTATTCGGGAATTCTATGGAGTCTTTCCACAGGAGTCCAGTCTCGTACTTCTCGCTTGTTGTTCTCACCGTCGTTTCTTCGAGGATTCAACGAGCTCGTTGATCTTCACTTCTTTCCAAATTCGGTGCCACAGAAACTCCTTAACTTTCAACAGAGAAAAATTTACGTATGTATTCGAGCAGATTGAGCTCCACTAATTCCACGCACATGTGCATCTGCCGATGTTGGAATTGATTCGTAGACTATCCGTAGCGATTGGTTCTTGTTCCTATTCTTTTCGAACCTTTGACGCGGCCAGGAGGTCCCAAGCCACACGAAAGTTCTATAACAGGTTATATAACCTTAATATAACTGGATATGGTTGTAAAGAAGTTTACTCAACATAATTGAATGAAGATGTGTTACTTGGAGGGAGAGTTGTTTAACCCATTGGCAAGGACCGGCCCTCTGGAAACTCTTGACTGGAAAGATTCGAAAATGCTTGTGCTGCTTTACCATGCTTTCAAAATCCAACGATTGCTCCGGTAGCCCCAAGTTCTCGACGGTGCACAGTGGGGCAAATTCAAAAATAATGAGACATAGCTATTTGCGATGAAACTATTGAGTTTAGCATGTTGATGTCTTCTAAAATGTTTCTCCCTTTTTTGAGTACTTTATTTGAGTAGTGAAATTTTTTGCTTAAGGGGGTATACACTGAGATAAAAAAAAACTTTTTTATGAGCTGTAAAAATTAATGCACATCTATGAAAGTATTGTAGATTAAGTCATTTTAAGAAACATTGACCCCACCTGCGGAACCGTGAATGGATGAAGTAAAAAGTTGTTCATTGCACTTCTAGCGTCTCCTTTCAATGCACGTTGAAGACGAAGAAGGTTCTCAGAGTCTGAATATCCACAGGATTCCGATGAATGTTGATAGCTGCTAATGAAGAGCGGCCTGTCAATGGGATCCCCCGCGAAGATATGCAACTCTTTCGAAAGTACCTGCCGTGCAGCCAACTGTTGCTGTGTCAGACAAAGCACTTCTGGTTGAAAGCCGCGACCAGCAGACGCAGGATTTGGAGGACCGGGAATGAAATTCCCCACTTGAAACACGCGTGGAGGAATGGGTGGGGGTATTATCGGTGGATAGATTGGTACAGCGTATGACGAGCGACCCCCGATAGGAGTTGGAGATATTGATGGCTGGTAGCCATAATAGGGACTATTAACAAACCTGCCATCCCTAATCCTTGGGAGTTAATCCGGCGCTGAATGATCCAGTTGCTCCTGGGGCGAACGCACTGGGGGTGGCTGCTGCTTGCTCAACGATTCAAGCTGGTTCTTCAGCTGTTGTTCTGCAGCTCGTAGACGATCTAGGTCTGCATAACGTCGCTTCAATTCCTGCTGCCGTTGTACTTCCATGGCGGACTGCCTTTCAGCAAACTCCTTTAACTGATTCCTCGTATTCGAATCCTGTTTGCGAAGTTGTTCCACATTCGCATCCTTTTGAAGCCGCAAAAGCTTCATCTGCTCTACGAGGTTCAGTTCCCGTTTCCTTCGCGTTTCAATTTCCTGCTGATGACGAAGTTCCAGCTCGTACGGTACCACTGCTCTCATCGCAAGTTTCGGTATTATCCCCTTTCGTGATACGATCGGCTTGGGTTCATCCAGAATATTCCATAGCGTTTGAAGGTTCACCAGCGAAATCAGGTGCGGCT